AGATTAACTCCTTCCCTCCCAGGCGCAGAGGAAGGTGGGCACCCGCCGCAGTGCGCAGCTGCAGAGGCTGGCCGGCGTCGGGATGGTCTCACCCCTTACCCCAGGGTGGCTCAAAAGCAGAAGGGGTAGAAGGCATGCCGTCCCTGGAGAAGGCAGGGAGGGAAGAGGCAGCGGGGAGGGCCTGGCGCTTGGCCTGGGCCTCGGCGCCCAACTCTCTCAAGCACCTCGCTGGGAGGCTGGCAAGTGCTCGGCACGCCGTGGGCACTCAGACGTTTGTGGAGTGATCGGACGACCTCCGCGGCCGGCCCGGATCCCTGGCCCGACCGTCACAGCTCGCCACCTACATCCCCCCCGCCCCGGCATCCTTCAGTGGGGTCACAGGAGGGAAAGCGCCGCTCAGAGGCCGGAGGGGGCGTGTGGGGCCACGCTCCTTCCGCACCTCCTCTTCCCCACCTCCCCCCACCCAACCCCAAATCTCGCCAACTCAGCGCTTCAGGGCGACCAAACTTTCTGCGGTGGCTCCGGCCGCCCTCCCCCGCGCTCCCTCCCCCGGCGCGAATGCGGCACTGCGGCTCCGCGTCCTTCCCGGCTCAGGACGCGGCCCGGTGGGGGGAGGGGCCGGGACCTGGCCCTCCGGGCGCCTGGGTCCCGGGGAGCCTAGCAGCGGGGCCTGGGATCGCTCCTCTCTCCCCCTTCCTTCCAGTTCCCCCATTTTGCACGGCCCCCTCTCTGCCATTCTGCCTCCGGGGTCTCCGGGACCGGGAGGAAGTTAGGAGGAGGAAGAGGTTCAGGGGAGAACCAGGGGGAGGGGAGGGAAAGTTAAAGATGCTTGAGGAAAGTTTTCTGGGACAGATGGAGCGAGCTATGGGGGAAATCTGGGATTCTGAGGGAGATGCGGCTGGAGGAAAGACGAGGCTGGCGTGTGGGCGCTTGGGTTCACTCTGGTGGAGGGAGAGAGACCAGAGGGGCCCAGTCTTGACAGGGGGGCTTGAGAAAGGGAGAAGGCAGGGCTGGGGCAGGGGCGGGGCAGGTGCAGGTGGAAAGAATTGGAAGCTTTTTTGAGATGAAAGTTTTGGGGCTGGAACCTTGGTGGGGGGGTCCCAAGGTTTGCGGCTAAAGTTCTGGAGCAGGAAAATAAGTCACTTAGACTAGGAAAGGGGTTGGGGGGTGTTTGGCGGGAGGAGGCCCCGAGACAGAGTGGGCTGTGCAGTTCAAGCGATGAAAAGAAGCTATGGGAATGCGTGGATGAGGAAGAGTGACTCTGGAGGACACACGGGGGTTCCGGAGAGGAAGGCATATGAGGGGGCCCAGGACGCCTCTGGAGAAGTCAAGGAGTGTGAAAGGCTGGGGGGAAGTCTGGAGCTTTATGAGGAAAGTCCTTGGGATGGGAGTCGTCGCGAGGACGCAACAAGGGACATAAACACAGAGGGGTCAGGAGGCTCCAGGAGAGAAGATGCCCCAAGACTCAGCGTCGCAGGGAGAGGGAAGGGAGGCGTCCTGGCTAGAGCAGGTGGTCTGGAGGCTCAGTGGAGTCCAGAAGGCTCTGAGGTTGGGGTGGGGGAGTCTTTTGAGACCTCGAGGGTCGAGGGCCGAAGACATGGAGAGAGGGTGGTAAAAAAAAAAATCTACATCATAGTAACCAGGAGATTCAAACTTGGAGAGGGGGGTGTGCGGGAGAGGTGCCAAGGGAGAACCAGAGAGGTGCTGGGAGACCCAGAGAGTTGAAGAGGGGGCTTCGGAGAGCCTGGGGGGTGCGGAAACTGGGGGACCGTGTTTCAGGGCCTAGGACACTCTGAGAATCGCTCTTCCGAGCCACGGGGGGTGGTCCAGGATACGGAGGGCGGGAGCGTGGCCGAGAGCGGCCAGGAGAGGTCTGGAGGGGCTC